TCCACAAGTTTTATGATTAAGCAATTTAGTTCTAAAGTTTCAAATCTTTTCAAATCAGTCCTTCATGTTTTCAAATTTAATCAAATTAATCCCTTATAGTCCAAAATGTTAAAAATGTTGCAATTTGGTTTATCTCTTTTTCAAGCTTACTTATTGAGACTCAAACATAAAGATAATAAATAAGTTGAATTAAATCCCCAATGTTAAAGTATGCAACCGTGTTTAAACGGAGGATTGTGAGGTGCGCGTATGCCCTTCCTCACTCCTAACCGAACCCCCGAACCTCGATATCTGCGCAGATCTGTTTTAGGTGACTTGTCCCACCTTATAATTTGGACGAGTGGCGACTCCCTTCTTTTTTATATTTTCACACTTAATCCATTTTTAAGTGGTCGTCAACAGTTTGGCGACTCCACTGGGGACTGAACCTAGAATCCTTGGTTTCCATATTCTAGGTTCACGAGGGTCGAGCTAATACTTTAACTTTGGGGATTTTTCAGCTCTCAATTTTCTTTGTTTGTTGAGTCTGTGCGGGTTTTTGTCATTTATTGCATGTGCTTGTTGCGTGTTGTTTGTCACTTGTTTGTTTGTTTTGGTGGTTGCTTTTTTTGTTTTTACCTTTAAGTGGTTAGTTCGCTATATCTTGACATGCATCATACCTTGTTCACATGTTCATGCATCATATCATCTCACATGCTCATCCATCATTAATATTATATGCTTATTCATCATGCATCATGCTTACATGCCTATTTGCTTGTGTGTGGATATACTCACCTTTTGCACTTGGCTATGGAGTACTCAGTGAGTCTCTTCCCTCTTGTGTGATTATTTACATCTTTTTGCATGCTAAGTGTTGGTTGCTTTGTGTTACTAACCTTTTGCATTTGGCATGGGAGTACTAGGTGAGTCCCTTCCTGTTGTGTAAGTAGGTTTGTTTGTGAATGCTATATCTGTTGAATGTTTTATATGCTTTATTTGCTTACTGTGGGATATATTTTTGTGGTTGCCATTGTGCAAGTTATTGGAGTGTCATGCCCTTTGCACACACTCACCTTCATTTTGCATTAGGTCCGTGTCGGAGGTGAACCCGACCTCTAGTCTGGAATCCTTATGAATCTGGCTTGGAAGAGCAATTCTTCCCGCTTTGAGGAGTAAGATCGGTTCTTGTTAGGTTGTTTCCATTGGTTAATACGACACTTGATGATGTAATATCATTCTGTGTATTAGCTTTTGGAAATGTCTCCCGTTGATTCCGAAAGGATAAATGGTTGAGAAAGCCTAATGCCCTTTAGGAAAACATGTAATGGCCTTAAAGAGATACCAACCCTAGGACATGTTTCCCTTAGCATCCCACCTGTGAGGTTAGGAATCCTGTGTCTAAGACACAAGGGGTATTTTTCTTCACTAACTTTGTCTCTGCACATGACAGGTTTTTGCTCTTATATGCATTTGAGGTATGATTAGTTATCCATCTTTTGCATTTAGACATCATTCTTGAGGTAAGGAGCATTCCATGCATTTTGTATCTTCACTTTCAACCCTGTGCATCAAAAAAAAAAAAGTTAAAAAAAAAAAGGAAGAGTTCATGATTGTTTCACATGTCATGTGTCCATCCCATTCATTTCACATTAAATCTTTCATATGTCTTGAAAATTTCATGTATGTCCATTGTATTGCATTCTCCATCTCATGCGTTGCAAAATATATTTTCATGTTCATCTCATGTGACATTCTCCGTTTTGTTCATTTTAAATTTCATTTTCATCTCATGTTTCACAAGAAGAAAAAAAAGGTAAAATTCCATCCATGTTCATTACATTACATGTTCCATCTCATATAAAAATTGCAAAAAAAAAAAAAAAATCTCATTCACATGCATTTCACACTGCATTTTCTATCTCAAATTTTCATTCCAAGCATTATTATCTCTATCTCATATCTCCCATATTTCATAAAAGTTGCAAAAAAAAAAAAAAAAAAAAAAAAAAAAAAAA